TGGTGCCAGGATATAGTGTGGTGACGGTGTCAGGTTGCTGTGGTGCCAGGATATAGTGTGGTGACGGTGTCAGGTTGCTGTGGTGACGGTGTCAGGCTGCTGTGGTGACGGTGTCAGGTTGTTGTGGTAACAGGATATAGTGTGGTGACGGTGTCAGGTTGCTGTGGTGCCAGGATATAGTGTGGTGATTGTGTCAGGCTCCTGTGGTGCCAGGATATAGTGTGGTGACGGTGTCAGGCTGCTGTGGTGCCAGGATATAGTGTGGTGGTGTGGTGACGGTGTCAGGTTGCTGTGGTGCCAGGATATAGTGTGGTGGTGTGGTGACGGTGTCAGGTTGCTGTGGTGCCCATATATAGTGTGGTGGTGTGGTGACCTTGTCAGGTTGCTGTGGTGCCAGGATATAGTGTGGTGGTGTGGTGACGGTGTCAGGTTGCTGTGGTGCCAATATAGTGTGGATGGTGTCAGGACTGCTGTTGCGTGTGCCAGGATATATTGTGTGTGGTGACGGTGTCAGGATGCTGTGGTGCCAGGATATAGTGTGATGACGGTGTCAGGCTGCTGTGGTTCCAGGATATAGTGTGGTGACGGTGTCAGGTTGCTGTGGTGCCAGGATATAGTGTGGTGACGGTGTCAGGCTGCTGTGGTGCCAGGATATAGTGTGGTGTCGGTGTCAGGTTGCTGTGGTGCCAGGATATAGTGTGGTGACGGTGTCAGGCTGCTGTGGTGCCAGGATATAGTGTGGTGACGGTGTCAGGCTTGCTGTGGTGCCAGGATATAGTGTGGTGACGGTGTCAGGCTGCTGTGGTGCCAGGATATAGTGTGGTGACGGTGTCAGGTGCTGTGGTGCCAGGATATAAGTGTGGTGTACGGTGTCAGGTGCTGTGGTGCCAGGATATAGTGTGGTGACGGTGTCAGGCTGCTGTGGTGCCAGGATATAGTGTGGTGACGGTGTCAGGCTGCTGTGGTGCCAGGATATAGTGTGGTGACGGTGTCAGGCTGCTGTGGTGCCAGGATATAGTGTGGTGACGGTGTCAGGCTGCTGTGGTGCCAGGATATAGTGTGGTGACGGTGTCAGATTGCTTTGGTGCCAGGATATAGTGTGGTGACGGTGTCAGGCTGCTGTGGTGGGAAGATATAGTGTGGTGACGGTGTTAGGCTGCTGTGGTGCCAAGATATAGTGTGGTGGTGTGGTGACGGTGTCAGGTTGCTGTGGTGCCAGGATATAGTGTGGTGACGGTGTCAGGCTGCTGTGGTGCCAGGATATATTGTGGTGACGGTGTCAGGCTGCTGTGGTGCCAGGATATAGTGTGGTGGTGTGGTGACGGTGTCAGGCTGCTGTGGTGCCAGGATATAGTGTGGTGGTGTGGTGACGGTGTCAGGCTGCTGTGGTGCCAGGATATAGTGTGGTGGTGTGGTGACGGTGTCAGGCTGCTGTGGTGTCAGGATATAGTGTGCTGGTGTGGTGACGGTGTCAGGTTGCTGGATCACCAGCACACAGTGTCCAACGCTGAGTGACACTTGACACCCAGACCATCACAGTGGAGGGTATCCAGGCTTGAGTGACACATGACACCTAGACCATCACAATGAAGGATGTCCAGCCTTGAGTGACACATGACACCAAGACCATTATACTGGAGGATGTCCAGCCTTAAGTGACACATGACACCCAGACCATCACACTGAAGGATGTCCAACGCTGTCACACATGACACCCAGACCATCACACTGAAGGATGTCCAGCCTTAAGTGACACATGACACCCAGACCATCACACTGAAGGATGTCCAGCCTTGAGTGACACATGACACCCAGACCATTATACCGGAGGGTGTCAGGCGCTGAGTGACACATGTGGCACCTAGACAAAGAATTAAATCTTAAGAAACTCGTTTAGAATAAGTGAATATATGCAGTCATGCAAGATGAAGATTGAGAAGTGACAATACAAGTGTTTAACGTGATCAAAAGGCATGACAATATTGATTCAGACAAATATTTAATATTGGTCAGGCAAACACGACTGGCTTGAGTCAGAGAAAATGAAGGTGAAGTTGTGTCTTGACGCAAGGAACAATACAACATATGGGAGAATAAATTGTTTTGACTGAAGGAACAATACAACATGTGAGAGAATAAACTGTGTGTTGATGCAAGGAACAATGCAACATACGGGAGAATAAACTGTGTCTTGACGCAATGAATACACCATATGGGAGAATAAAATGTGTGTTGACGCAAAAAACAATACAACATGGGAGAATTATATTGTGTTGACGGAAGAAACAATACAACATATGGGAGAATAAATGAGAGAAAGTGAGTCTGCCTAAACAAGAATATAATTTTTAACACAGTTCAGCATTATGAACCAAACTTACTATACCAAAAAAAAATCACAAACAGATTGGGATAAGAGAAAGGAGAAAGGGAGAGGGGAGGGGGGAGAGGGGAAGGGGGAATAGGGAAAGAAAGGGAGGGAAGGAAGGGGAAAGGGAAGGGTAACTGGGGAATAGGGAAAGAAAGGGAGGGAGGAAGGGGAAATGGAAGGGGAACTGGGGAAAAGGAAGAAGGGGAAGGGGAAGGGAAGGGGAAAAGCGGAAGGGGAAAGGGAAGAGAAAGAAGGGGAGAGGGAAGAAGGGGGAAGGGCGAAACTTGAAATCCAGCAAAAGTTTAATCAGAGATATTTGTCAAAACTTGTGGGACAAGTTTTGTGAGTGGGAGGCGAGCTGATAGGACGTCAGCACCCCAGGGGAGCAGCAGCAGCATAACCAAGATAACTTGCTCATGACATCGTTCCTTGGACGCCACTCAACTCAATGTGTGCTCCAGCATCACCCTAATGTATGCATCCCTGTGGACCCTCGATGCCCAGGAAGCACTGGAGAAAACTGGGAAGGGTGAGGGAAGGAGGAAAGGGAGGAGGCAGAGGAAAAGGGGGGTAAGTGGAAAGAGGGCGACGAGGTTGTCACGCTTGCCACCAACACCACACACACACACACACACACACACACACACACACACACACACACGGCTAGAAAGAGTGCAACGATTTGCAATGAAATTAGTTCCAGCGCTGAGGGGTTTGACCTATGTGGAGACGCTAGAGGAGCTAGTTCAACTTGAGGACACTAGAAGGTAGAAGAACCAGAGATGACATGATTACGACTTACAAAATGCTCAGAGGAACTGACAGGGTGGCGAGGGAGAGTATGTTTGAGAGGCGGGTCTCAGGTACACGAGATCACAACCGAAGGTTAAAAGCGCAGATGAATCTCAAGGATGTTAGGAAATGTCTCTTTAGTCTTAGTGTGGTCAGGAAGTGCAACGACCTAGATAGCGAAGGGGGTAGAGGCAGAATCCATACAGAGCTTTAAGAATAGATATGACAAGACTCATGCAGACAGGAGTGACAACCGTAGCGGCTAGCAAAAGCGCGGGGCCAGGAGCTGAAACTTGACCCCTGCGACCACACATACACACCAAGTAATAACAGTAAGAGAGGGTTGGGTGCGTTGTATATTCTTGGAGTGCAAGAAGGCATTTGATACTGTTCCTTATAAACGAGAGGTGGTAGAAGGATGTAGGCTGGAATAACAGGGAATGTACTCCGTTGGATCCGAGATCCAGACAAAAGAGTGACTGGCCGAGTAATAATTATATTATAATTATTTTAAGAGATAAACCCGTACGAGTCATACAGATGTCAAAATAGGAAATTGAAACAAGAGGAGTCCCGTCAGGATGGGTATTACTACTATTAATGTTCCTGGTATATGTGAATGATACACCAGATGGGACTGAGGCAGGCGTGTCTCTGTTGGTTGATGATGTAGAACTAATGAGAATAAAAAAAAAAATCGACGATGACAGGAAAAGACTGCAGATGGACCTGGGCAAACTGCAGGATTGGTGAGGTAATGTAATATTATGAAGACTGGGGAATGAGCAAGAAGATCGGAAGCTGAGTACAGACTTAAGATGACAAAGGCCACAGACCTCACTCAAGGAGAACCTTGGGATAAGCATAGTGCCAAGAACATCAACCTAATGACCTCTGTATGCAATGATCTTCGGACAAATCTACGGATAGCCTTCAGGACTCAACAAAGACTCATTCATGACCCTTTATACAACAAACATCAGGCCCATCTTGAAACCAACTCTTGATAAAACATATTAAGAAACTAGAGAAAGTGTAAACATATGCAACGAAACTAGTTCCAGACCTGACAGCAGGAGTAGTCTGGAACCGGTGCCCAGAGGTGGTGACCTCCGGACACAACGCAAGTAAACACTAGAAGATAGAAGAACCATGGGAGACATAATATCATACAAAATACTCAATGAAATTGAAAGGGTAGACATTGACAGAATGTTTGAGGCGAGAAACAGGTACACGAGGGCACTTTCTCTGGAAGTTACAGAAAGAGATGAGCCATAGGTATGTCAGGAAGTAATTCTTCAGCCTCAGAGTGGTAGGGGAAGTGGAATGACCTAGACAAAAAAGTAGTAAAGGCAGCCTCGGTGATCACCTGTGGCAGTGAGAGGCTACTAAGGTAGAGTGGTCCATGGAGTGGAAGTGTTCAATGATCACCTGTGGCAGTGAGAGGCTACTAAGGTAGAGTGGTCCATGGAGTGGAAGTGTTCAATGATCACCTGTGGCAGTGAAGAAACATGCTGTTGCTTATGAAGACAGTATAGAGCAGCGTTTATAGTGTGTGTGTTAACCAGTGTTCTGGTATGACAAGTGTAGCAGTGCAGGTGTTGTGAGCGCAGCGTGAGTGAGTGTTGTGTGCAGGGGTAAGAGCTGCAGGTTGTGGTCAGCAGCTGGGCTGGGTCGAGGTGTGGAGGCAGGGAAAGGAGGAGCCAGGGATGCTGAGGGCACGTATGGGCGGAGCTGTGTCACTAATAGGGTGGTGATAGGCTCGCCTGTGGGGTAGACTCCTCCCTCTGCAGATAGTCTCCGCCCAGCGCGTCCCGCCCCAAGGCTGAAGCCGAGGTGTTGTCAGTGTTTTGCTGAGCGGCGTGTGTGTGTGCCATGAGTGAGACCAGGTCACCAGGCGACCTGACCTGATCTGATCAGTGAGTGAGCCCGAGCGCCACACCATCATGGGTCAGGGTGCGCGCGCGCGATGCCACTGGTGGGCTGCCCGAACCCCGCACCTGTGGTGGCAGCAGGTGTACACGTGTTTGATCATCTTGACCGTGTTGAGTGGATCATTCGTGCAGTGTTGCGGTCCGGGTCGTGGCGGAGGTCGGCGGCGCTCGCCCCGCAAGCTGAGGCCGCTGGTGTTCAAGCAACATGTTCCCAACGTGTCGGAGAAGACCCTAGGGGCCTCGGGCTTGACAGAGGGCCCAATTACCCGTGATGACCCGAGGTTTCAGAGCCTTGTACCCAACTATAACACAGATATCATCTTTAAAGACGAGGAGGGCACGGGCGCCGACAGACTGATGACAGAGGTCAGTGTGTGGGCTGTCATTGTAAAACAAGACACATGTGCCATAAAAACTTACAATACCGTGGCTGGTATTAGTAAAATGGGAGAGAAAACGTATGACGACATTTCGTCCCGTCCTGGACCAGCTGTGACTCGACAATGGTCAAGGATGGACCGATACGTCACGAAGGTCCTCTCTTAAGTGCGGGTTTTTGGTGAACGCACATGTGAAGACACAAATGAGAGCTTCAGTACATCAGTTTGTACATGACGACCTCTCCAATCATTCAGTTTGTACATGATGATCTCTCCAATCATTGTCTGTACATGACGACCTCTCCAATCATTCAGTCTGTACATGATGGCCTCTCCAATCAGTTTGTACATGATGATCTCTCCAATCATTCAGTTTGTACATGATGATCTCTCCAATCATTCAGTTTGTACATGATGACCTCTCCAATCATTCAGTTTGTACATGATCTCTCCAATCATTCAGTTTGTGCATGATGATCTCTCCAATCATTCAGTTTGTACATGATGATCTCTCCAATCATTCAGTTTGTACATGATGATCTCTCCAATCATACAGTTTGTACATGATGATCTCTCCAATCACTGTCTGTACATGATGACCTCTCCAATCATTATCTGCACATGACGACCTCTCCAATCATTCTGTTGTACATGATGACCTCTCCAATCATTGTCTGTACATGACCTCTCCAATCATTCTGTTGTACATGACCTCTCCAATCATTGTCTGTACATGATGACCTCTCCAATCATTCTGTACATGACCTCTACAATCATTCTGTTTGTACATAATGACCTCTCCAATCATTCTGTCTGTACATGATGACCTCTCCAATCATTCTGTACAGGATGACCTCTTCAATCATTCAGTCTGTACATGATGACCTCTCCAATCATTCTGTCTGTACATGATGACCTTTCCAATCATTCAGTCTGTACATGATGACCTCTCCAATCATACAGTTTGTACATGATGATCTCTCCAATCACTGTCTGTACATGATGACCTCTCCAATCATTGTCTGCACATGACGACCTCTCCAATCATTCAGTCTGTACATGATGACCTCTCCAATCATTCTGTTGTACATGATGACCTCTCCAATCATTGTCTGTACATGATGACCTCTCCAATCATTCTGTTGTACATGATGACCTCTCCAATCATTGTCTGTACATGATGTCCTCTCCAATCATTCTGTACATGATGACCTCTCCAATCATTGTTTGTACATAATGACCTCTCCAATCATTCTGTCTGTACATGATGACCTCTCCAATCATTCTGTACAGGATGACCTCTTCAATCATTCAGTCTGTACATGATGACCTCTCCAATCATTCTGTCTGTACATGATGACCTTTCCAATCATTCAGTCTGTACATGATGACCTCTCCAATCATACAGTTTGTACATGATGATCTCTCCAATCACTGTCTGTACATGATGACCTCTCCAATCATTGTCTGCACATGACGACCTCTCCAATCATACAGTTTGCACATGATCTCTCCAATCATTGTCTGCACATGACGACCTCTCCAATCATTCAGTCTGTACATGATGACCTCTCCAATCATTCAGTCTGTACATGATGACCTCTCCAATCATTGTCTGTACATTATGACCTTTCCAATCATTCAGTCTGTACATGATGACCTCTCCAATCATTCTGTCTGTACATGATGACCTCTCCAACCAGTCTGTACATGATGACCTCTCCAATCATTCAGTCTGTACATGATGACCTCTCCAATCATTGTCTGTACATTATGACCTTTCCAATCATTCAGTCTGTACATGATGACCTCTCCAATAATTCTGTCTGTACATGATGACCTCTCCAACCAGTCTGTACATGATGACCTCTCCAATCATTCACTCTGTACATGATGACCTCTCTAATCATTCAGTCTGTACATGATGACCTCTCTAATCATTCTGTCTGTACATGATGACCTTTCCAATCATTCAGTGGGTACATGATGACCTCTCCAATCATTCTGTCTGTACATGATGACCTCTCCAACCATACAGTCTGTACATGATGACCTCTCCAACCATACAGTCTGTACATGATGACCTCTCCAATCATTCAGTCTGTACATGATGACCTCTCCAATCATTCAGTCTGTACATGATGACCTCTCCAATCATTCAGTCTGTACATGATGACCTCTACAATCATTCAGTCTGTACATGATGACCTCTCCAATCATTCAGTCTGTACACGATGACCTCTCCAATCATTCAGTCTGTACATGATGACCTCTCCAATCATTCAGTCTGTACATGATGACCTCTCCAATCATTCTGTCTGTACACGATGACCTCTCCAATCATTCTGTCTGTACATGATGACCTCTCCAACCATACAGTCTGTACATGATGACCTCTCCAACCATGCAGTCTGTACATGATGACCTCTCCAACCATACAGTCTGTACATGATGACCTCTCCAACCATACAGTCTGTACATGATGACCTCTCCAACCATACAGTCTGTACATGATGACCTCTCCAACCATACAGTCTGTACATGATGACCTCTCCAACCATACAGTCTGTACATGATGACCTCTCCAACCATACAGTCTGTACATGATGACCTCTCCAATCATTCTGTCTGTACATGATGACCTCTCCAACCATACAGTCTGTACATGATGACCTCTCCAACCATACAGTCTGTACATGATGACCTCTCCAACCATACAGTCTGTACATGATGACCTCTCCAACCATACAGTCTGTACATGATGACCTCTCCAACCATACAGTCTGTACATGATGACCTCTCCAACCATACAGTCTGTACATGATGACCTCTCCAACCATACAGTCTGTACATGATGACCTCTCCAACCATACATCTGTACATGATGACCTCTCCAACCATACAGTCTGTACATGATGACCCTCCAACCATACAGTCTGTACATGATGACCTCTCCAACCATACAGTCTGTACATGATGACCTCTCCAACCATACAGTCTGTACATGATGACCTCTCCAACCATACAATCTGTACATGATGACCTCTCCAATCATTCTGTCTGTACATGATGACCTCTCCAACCATACAATCTGTACATGATGACCTCTCCAATCATTCTGTCTGTACATGATGACCTCTCCAACCATACAGTCTGTACATGATGACCTCTTCAATACTTATTTTACATGTGTCACCTTATAAAGCATGTCTTAGTGGAGATGTGTTTGTGACACCTCGCTGCTGCTGCTGCTGCTGCTGCTGCTGCTGCTGACTTTATTTCAGTCACTGCCACAAGATGCTGGTCTGCTCTTGCTTACATCAACACCCAAAACAAGATATTTATCTCAAGTATTTGTGTATACTATTACAGATAATCATATACCGCGGGTAACAACCCAGGCAGTAATCTTATCATGCGTGTGGAACTGACGCCAGGGTTTGATGGTCGTCAGGAAAACACTTTGTGGTCGTCGGCGCCAGTGCCTGTGTGGCATTGATACCACTGGGTGTGTGGCACTGACTCCAGCTGGCGAGTAGCACTGGCTCCAGGGAGCAGTGAACATTAAGAACAGTAGTCGAGAGTGTGGCGGGAGCTGTCAAGGTGTTTACTGGTATAGGTAACGCTGTCGGTGTTCGCAGGTATAGTTAACGTTAGTGTTCGCTGGTATAGGTAACGTTACAATGTTCACTGGTATAAGTAACGTTGTTACAGTATTCACTAGTATAGATACCGTTGTCAGTGTTCATTAGTATAGGTAACGTTGTTACGGTGTTCATTGGTATAGGTAACGTACCAAATGTTCAATGGTATAGATAACGTTACAGTGTTCACTAGTATAGATAACGTTACAGTGTTCACTGGTATAAATAACGTTACAGTGTTCACTGGCATAAATAACGTTACAGTGTTCACTGGTATAGATAACGTTACAGTGTTCACTGGTATAAATAACGTTACAGTATTCACTGGTATAGATAACGTTACAATGTTCACTGGTATAAATAACGTTACAGTGTTCACTGGTATAAATAACGTTACAGTGTTCACTGGTATAGGCAATGTTGTTACAGTGTTTACTGATAAGCAGTCTATTCCAACATTTATTTCTCAACGGTCTCCTTAATAATAATAATAATCTTTATTTCTACAAGTACATGTACAAGATGTACAGGCCTAGCTGACATCAATGACACTACTATATAGAAAAAGCCTTGTTATGTAGAGCATTTCGAGCAAATTGGGTGAATTTTGTCCCCAGGACAAAATTAATTTAAAAAAAAATAATTTGTTATTACGGTAACAGAAATATGGAGGAGTGTCAAGCGTGGTGCCAAGAATGGGTGCGGGGTGGACAATGTCATCGTCAGTGCCAACACTATGTGGATACTGTTATACACTATCTGTAACTGAATGTCATAAAAATGCAGTCAGAAGCCTGATCAGATCCATAACCCACCATGATAAGATGAAGGTAGATAAGCACATTCTCGGGATAACTTGGAATGTAAACAGATTGACGGATGCTGTAGCAGCCAAGCTCAGGCTTGATTACAAGTACATCTTAGAGTTTGTTATATACACAGACGAAGATTAAACTAAATGTAAAGTAAGTGGTCAGCCTTAAAGTCACTTTCTTGAACACTGTGCTCTTCATTGTCCACTTATCGAGTAATATACTGTAGAAAAAGGTAATACACTAAACCTGTATGATAGTTCATGGTGTCTTATACATGAAAATAAGATACCAGGAATTCTCAGCAAGTATCCCAATTTGATAGCAACACAAAATAATGACAATTTGTAAATAATATATGTTTACATGTACTCCTGTTGGTTATTTTAGGACCTGGTTCCTAGTCCTTGCATCCGTATCTTACCATTCACCAGATTGAAGTTACTGAAGCTATTTCTAGTTTTCTAAACGTAAGTACTTCTAGTTTGCCGCTTACAGGTGTATACTAATGTTATCATGTTTCAGCATGT